TCTCCAACAAAGAAGAAGAAGCCATGGACATTGTGCAAAAAAAAAAAAAAAAAAAAACGGCGCGTAAGCGAAAAATCCTTATTTTCTCTCTGTGGCGGCAGCTCGGGTCGAGATGGAGGTCCAGGATGGTAAGCGAGAAAGAGTCGGACTGGATGGTGACGGCATGGAGACGCCCAGGAATAGTCACATTGTGTTGATGTTGAGGAAGCAGAGCGAGAAGAGAGCGAGCGAGCATGATCGCGTTCCCGCCAGCGTGACTGTCGGGACAGAACGTGCAGAAAGATTCATATCCAGGGAACTCGGTGCGCAGCGACTCGCGATCCCCTTCATGGCCGTGCGTTTCTTGCAAGCAAATGATATTGTTTGCTCCAGTTAGGTTAGTGAGTCGATCGAAAGTCTTGACCTGAGTGTCGTGGTCCCCAGGGACCGCACCGAACAGGGTATGACAGTTCCCAGTAGCAATCCGAATACCTCGACCGTTGGCCAGGGATGGCGGAAAAGAGAGGCGAGAACTGACTGGGTTCTCAGGCTAAGGTGGCTGGGCTCCGAATTCAGCATTCGACAGAGAAGGCGAGCAAAGATCAGAAAATTCGGGCAACAGGGGCAGCGATGCAACGGGAGAGGGCGGAAAATTAGCACACGATACTAGGCTGGCAGCACTTCAATACTGCTGGACGGAGGCCTGGGCCTGCTCGACCATCCAGTTGGCGGTCGTCTCGGTGATGCTCCACTCGGAAAGCTGGTCGCTAATCGGTTTCAGCTCGTACATGCCACCAGGGGCGTCGGTCAGCTTGAAGATCTCCCAACGGTCGTTCTCGGTGGTGATGCTGAACACGCCTTTGAACGGGTTGGTGCCGATCTTGATTGACGGGCTCCACTTCCCTGCGTTCTCGCGGTGCTTGCGGACAAGCGGCCAGAGGGCGCTCAGAACGCGGTTCTTCTGGCGGGCCTGCAACGACATATCCCTGCGGCATCTCAGCGGACGAAGGGAGGTGTTGCGGTAGCCCTGCCACGTCACGGGGTTCGCGAGGAACCAGTCGTGGAAGTCGCGGGCCTTCTGCTCAGAGTTGAAGGTGGCGGCGAACGCTTGAGATACTTTGTGGAAATGGTTGTCCTCCCTTCACTGATGGCGGAAAGAAGTCGGCTCTTCATCTGGTTGAAGACTGTGCGCCTATACGGCTCGGTGGCTGGGCGCGGAAAGCCGCTGATCCACCGTCTGGTGGGGTCGATCTGGTTGTGCTCGTCGCTGGCGAGATCGATCATTGGAATCTCGGAAGCGCTGGAGCCAGCACTGGTGCCCCTCCCTAGGCGACGAGATGTGGATGGCGGCCGAGTTGAAGCGGAGCCTGCATCGGACGGAGCTCGCTGAAGTTCGGGAAGGGACGCTTCGAGCCTGGCCATCTTCTCGTTCATCTGCCGTTGAATATCGAGCCCTGCGTTTTTGGCGGTGGGGTTGCCGTCCTCGGTGTCGAAGAAGGCAGCGCTGGTGGCGGCTTCTTGATGAGCATGCTCGAGTCGAGACACTCTCAGGTCCATCTCGGGAACGAAAGCTTGGTGAGCTTTCTTGGCTTCTTCGAACTTGTCCCCCATGGCGAGCTCGAGATCGGAAATATTCTCCTCCAGTCCTTCAGCGACGGCGACTCGTGTTTTGACATCTTTGATGTCGTCCCTCATGGCACTCACGCCGCCGTTCATCCCTTCTAGAACTTGGAGCAACTGAGCATTGGATACCTCAGCAGCGGCCATTACGCTGCCAGGAAACGAGACAGGAGTCTGGATACACAAACTGGGTGGCAACATGCCTCTGTGCGAAAAAGGGTCAACCCCTGACCCTTGTGTCGCGGGCCGAGTCGGGAGCAGCCCTGCTCTGACCTGGCCAGCTGCCTTGAGGATATGGCAACTTGAGCCAAAATGGCTTGAGCCAAGACTACGGAAGGAGGAGGAGGAGGAGGAGGAGGAGAAGAAGAACGACGACGACGGCGACGAGGAGGAGGAGGACGAGGAGGAGGAGGAGGAGGACGTGGAGGGCGAGGAGGAGGAGGCCGACGAGAACGAGGAGGAGGAGGACGATGAGGATGAGAAGGCGGATGAGAAATAGGAGGAGGAGGACGAAGAGGATGACGATGAAGAATAGGAAGAGGAGGAGGAGGAGGAAGCAAAAGGAGGAGGAGTAAGCAGGAGGAAGCAGGTGAAAGAGGAGGAGGATTAGGAAGAGGAGGAGGTGCAGGAGGGTGGGGGGGGAGGAGAGGAGGAAGAGGAGGAGGAGGAGGACGAGGGGGAGAAAGGTATGAGGAGGAGGAGGAGGAGGACGAAAGGAGGAGGAGGAGAAGAAGGAGGGGAGAACGATGAGGTGGAGGAGGAGGAGGAGGGGAAGGTGAAGGAGGAGGAGGAGGACGAGGAGGAAGAGAAGAAGGTGGAGGTCGAGGAGGAGGAGGTCGACGAGGAGGAGGAGGAGGAGGAGGAGCAGGAGGACGAGGAGGAAGAGGAGGAGGGGGAGGAGGAAGAGGAGGAGGAGGAGGAGGAGGACGAGGAGGAGGAGGAGGAGGAGGACGATGAAGAGGAGGAGGACGAGGAGGAGGAGGAGGAGGAAGAGGAGGGGGGGTCCTCCATGACGGTATCCAGAAGCCCTGCCCCCCCCCCCCCCTCCCAGGAAGAGGTCCCCAAGAGGCCCAAAGACCTCGGTCCTCGAATTTCGGACGTCGTCCAAGGGTCGCAAGCGGGTGTGGTGCGCATGGGTATGCTCGCTCCGACTTGTGCATCGCGACTCGCACTGATGCCCGCAAGATTCGCCACAGAACCGTGCGCGGGCGATAAAAATACCCGGGGGATAATAGAAGTCGGGGCTCTGGCGGGGATACTAATGTAGTTTCCCGGGGAAGGCAAGTTATGATGGTGATGATGATGATAATGATGATGACGAGGAGGAGGAGGAGGAGGATGACGATGATCATGATGATGGTGATCCTGGGCGCTCGGCACAAGACTGTCTCGAGTGATTTGGATGCCCGTGGCTATACAACTTGCCAACAGGCGCTCGGCACTGCGTTTTTGATGTTGTTGCTAGTCAGCATGTGATGATAGCAACTTCGAGTCGCACCTCCCCCTTGGATCATAAAGTGGGGCCTCCGCGCCCTGTTCCACAATTAAAACCTGTTGAACGGGGATACTAGAAACATATAGGGGAAGGGGGTATGTGTTATTATCGCCAGCACGGGGTTACCAAGCCCGTGCATGCAACGCGAACAGTGTCGTCGAAGATGTTTCGTGTGGAGGCGGGTGGGGGTCTAAGCTGGACAAGCCCGATGAAATAGGTCAAGGAAGGGAATGACTGCAATTTCGATCAAAATTGCTCGCCAGACCCCATCCAGGGTCGACACTGACCAGTTCTTCGAGCCGCGTCCAGCCCTGGCGACGAGAAGGCCCCTTTCACCACCTTCTCGGCTGGCAGGAACCAGGTGCTGGGCCATCCCCAGACAGGAGATGTCCTGATGTTTTCCAGACGCGGTCCCTCCTCCTCCTCCTGCTCCTCATCCTCCTCCTCCTCCTGCTCCTCCTCCTCCTCCTCCTCCTCCTCCTCCTCCTTGACTATCCTCATCCTTCGAAGCCGACCCTTTCCATGGGGCGGCGTTTCATCCTGAGCCATGTTTGCGGTCACGGGGCCCTGGTAAGGGCCCCGAAAGGCAAAAAAACTGGCCCCAAAGCCTCCTGTCCTGGCTCTGCCCCGACGCAGGCACGTCTGAGTCTCAGCCCCGCCAGCCAGCTCAAGAGGATCGCCCAAGATCTGGGCTGCGATCAGACCAGCGCGACAGGCGGTGGCGTCTGCAGGCGGTGGATATGATTGCGGATGCCATGACAATGGACACTCTAACAATCCGATCATTGAATTAAAAATGCGTTTGAATTGTGTAAAACATGTTCTAAAAATATATCAGACCTGTTTTTACGTATTTCAAGCATGTTTCAGACATATGGAAATTGTTTGGCAGAATGCTGCCTCTCCATTGATCTACTTCCACAAAGATATGGATAGGTTTGGCCCCCCCCCCACACGGGCCCCGACCGTACCCATGTCCACCGCCGGCCGATGTCCTCGAAGAGCGATCCCCCCGGCGGCAGTGACGGATAAATCCCCACCTCGGACCCCTTGGGCGTTGGGCAATTCGGGTGCGATCCATGGGAGGGGGAAGAAACGTGCACCTTGCGTCATCCTTTGGGGTTCCTTTAGGGCCAACTTTAGGATACAAGAAAAATACACCTTTCGTCACCCCCCCAAGGTACCGCCCCCCCATAATGAACAAGCGCGCTCCACCACTCGCAAAATGACTGCTCACAAATGGCCCCGATCCGCCGCGGGGGAATCACACTCCACTTCATCGAGGCAAGCATGTGCTTTCCGCACATTTGCGAGCAGGCAAATTGCGAGCAGTGGAACGCGCTCGGTGATTAGCGCCGCCCTCGGCTACACGCAAGAGCGAACTTTGGTGCGCGACATTCAGGGGCCGCGGGGAGGCAAAATCTGAGAGCTCGAGACGCTGCTATCGCAAGGCGGTCAGTCATCTGGGGAACCCAATGTGCCCGCACCAACGGTCACTCCAGCGAAAGGTCATTCGCGCATGAAACCGCCCCCCCATTGGGGACACCCAGAAGTACGGACACCGCTACTCCCCAGACCTCTCCTGGAATGCGCCCTGACCAGAATTTCGAGGCGCATCCAACGGTGGCGACGAGGGCCTCCCAGGAGGCCCAAAGATAACCAGCCTCGAACGTATCCCTATCCCTAAGATTGGCGAGCAAAAAGCGAGGACAATCTTAGGGATAGGCCCTCAAAAACTGAGGGAATCCTTAAGATCGGCATCGAGGTGAGGTGATGTCAAACATAGGGATAGGGATATGTTCCAGGCTGGTAAAAAGAGGGGGAAACGCGGGAAAGTTAGAGGCGTGGGCACCTTCTCCTCCTCCGGCCAACGCCCAGAACCCCAGGGCGCTCGGGCGTGCCGGGCCTCCGCAGACCGTCGCGGACGCCGCCAGCGTGGCGCGGCGCGGGAGCCCCCGCCGGGCCTCGGGGAGAGCCGAGGCCTCCTGGCGCGGGCCCCTCCGCGGGAGCGGCGGCAGCGGGGCGCGGCGCCGAGGGGGGCGCGCGCCTGGTGGAGGGGAGGACCCGCCCTCTGACCTACAGCAAGGGCCCTGCCATCGTCCGGACGCCCATTTCCCGTGTATTGCTCAATGTCGCGCGCGCATAGTTCTGGACAAAAGAATCCGACATGCTTCTCAAGATGGTCCTCGCCGAGGAAGGCGTGCACATGTTCGAGTGATGCCAAGAGGCGGAGCCAGGACGAGAATACGTTTGGACGAGGATGCATCAGAAACCTCAAAGAACTGGCGGCTCTCGAGATGTCTCGGGCGCCGCGGCCTTCTCGATGCGTTCCGGAACGCTCTGAGAGCGTGACGGAACGCTCTAGACCGGATTTATCCTCGTCCTTGGGGAAACCAATAAGTACCGATACCGCTACTCCCCAGACCTCTCCAGGTGTGCGTTATGACCAAAATTTCGAGGCGAATCCAACGGTGGCGATGATAGACTCCCAGGAAGCCCAAGAAGGCGAAACCGAGGCAAGGTGGAATGGGGACCATCCTCCTCTGAATCCTAGCCCCGTCCCATACAGCCCAGGTGCGGTGGCGCGATGAGCCGGTGTGAAAAGGGGGTCGACCCCGCCCTGTGCACCGAGGCGGCCTCCTCCTCAGCCAAGAATGAAGGGGCCCCAGGACACACAAATAAGTACACACAAATAAAAATCTTCCCCATATTTTCCCATATTTTCTGGATTTTGGTCTTCCCCCCCACTGCCCATACTTTCCCATACTTTCTGGGGAATCGACGATTAATTGTGTCTGTGTGTTTTTTCCCTCCTGAAAGGAGCCCTCTGACCTACGCAGCCAGGCGCAGGGGCGGGGGGGGTGCTCTCCCGCGGACGCGCGCTCGCACGGGCACTCGAACGAAAAAATAGACCCCTGCCGCTACAGTCGGGGGCTTGACCTAAGGAACCCAAAATGAGGAACGAGGCCCCTTTTTTCCATGAGTTGAACTTCGATTTCCGATCGAAAACATAAGGAAAACCTGAGGCAAGCTGCGAAACACTTAAGGAACGCGGAGCCCCTCCCCAACGACAAGGGTTCCTTCTTCAGGGCCTCGACTGTACCCCTCGCCCGTGTTCCTCGTTCTGGGCCTCCTGGGAGGCCCTCACCGCCACCGCCGGACTCGCCTCGAAATCCTGGTCAGAGCGCGCCCCGAGAGGAGTCTCGGGAATAGCGGTATCGGTGAATTGGATTCCCCCGATACACGGATAAGGCCGCCTGACTTCGCGCTTCGCGCTGCGCGGGGCGCGAACAACTTCGCGTGAGAAAACAAGGGAAAGACTCGGAGCCGAACCGCGAAGCGCGAATATTTTCGCGCCCCAGAGGGCGCCCTTGAATACGTTCCGCGCAGGGCGACCCCGCCTTGTCCGCGGGGTCGCTGCCCATGCAGGGGCCTGGCCCGTGAGGCCGCGGATACGGGTATGTCTTTCGCCCGCCATCCCTCCACGCCCTCATCCTCGATCTCATCCGGATCCCTCGCTCCCTGCCGCCCCCCGCCCACCCTCCTCCCCCCTCCTCCCCCCTCCTCCCCCCCTCCTCCCTCCCTCCTCCACTCGCCGACCTCCTCCGCCCTCGTCTCGATCTCAGTCTGGTCACGCTCCTCCGAGGGCTTCGCCGAACAGGCATCCCAGATAGACACCAGGAATAAGGCCATCAGCGCCCCGGGGATGGCCACCATCGCGGCCACCAGCAGCTTGAAGCCGGGGAGCTCCCTGCAGGCGGCGGGTGTTTACATCATTTGATCGATGGGCGAGCGACGCATTGGCGCTGCCGCGGCACAGCTCGATCTGTGCTTCCTCCTCGTCCTCCACCCTCCTACTCCCTGCTCCCGGCCCCCCCCTCGCTTGAGCAGGGACCGACCGTCCCGGCAGTTCTATAGTCCAACGACGACATGTTCTTAGAACCCGAACATGTTCGAAGGAATTAAGACAAAGTTCTTAGAACATGAACCCGATGTGATAAAACAAGACAGTCCCAACCAGGAATGTTCGAATTCAAGTTCGCGGGAACCACAGAAGGTTCTTGGAACATTGTTTGGTAGGACTATAGGCACGCCAGGACGCTTCGCCACTGCTGAACTCGCAGAGGAATCGAGAGGAGGCCGAAGCGAGAACGGGGTGCTGGCACAGTGGAGGACTCCCACAGGGGGTCCGCGTGCATGGGGCCGGAAACTCGCGACGCACCACCGAGGCATCGGCGACTTTGGACTCCCGAAATGGGTACGGATAACATGGGCACAATGCCTAACAACGAATGCTGTCCCAAACCAACAGCGGCCGCTGTTGGGTAGGCGGCCTTCTGTCTCACATGGACACAGGCCGCGGCGGCGCGGACAGCGAGTCCTGTTCCACAGGAGCAGGAACTGCCGTTGGGCGCTGTACCCCTTCTTTCCGTGCCCAGCTCCTTCGTGCCGAGCGACCGACGGCGCGGAGACCACAGCGCCGCCGCGCCGGCGCCGCGGCGCGCTCCTCGGGCCCCACTCTGCGGCGGCCCCCGCTGCGAAGCCCTGGGCACGTGGAGCCCCCGAGGAGCACCGCGCGGGGGCCTCCCTGAGGAGAGGCCCCGGGGCGGCACGGGCCACCGGCTGGCGAGGGCGGGAGGCGCACGGAGAGCACGGCCCGGCTCGCGACTGCTTGGAGGCGCGGGTGCTGTTACCCCCTATCGGGCTCCAAGGGCCACATCCCAGAAGTAAGTTCGAGCACCCAGGAAAAGCGCCGAAAGAGTGCCGCAAGAGTGTCGAAAGTGTCGGACGAGTGTCTCCCAGGGCTTGGCACGTAAAAACCCTCGAGCTTAGGGGTGCTGTTCTGGCGCTCGAAACTCTTTCTGGTGATCAAGGCTAAAATAAGATGGAACATCATCAGGCGTGGGCCCTCTTCCCGCTCAGGATCGGGGGCGTCCAGGCGGGGCTCGGCCAACCTGGGGAGCTCGCAAAGCCTGGCCCGAGGCGGGTGAACAGGCGAGAGGGGGGCCAAGGGACGCACTGATCCGGGGGAGATGTCATGTCCTGGATGGGACGCCCCCTCTAATCATCAACCCCCTCTGGGACGCCCCCTCTCAGCATCCGCAGCGCGCCTGGGGGGGGGGAATTCAGAAGGGGCGGGTCTTTGTCAGAAGGCTGGACCTCCCCCTCAGGCGTTCTGGGCAGTCTAGGCATGTGGTCAAGCACGCTCCACAGTCGCAAAGTAACTACTCGAAAATTGCTTGGATCCGCCGCGGGAGACTCTCGATCCATTCCAAAGACGAAGACATATGTTTTCAGGCGTTTGCGAGTAGGCACTTCGCGAATAGTGGAACGCGCTCGGTGAGCCTTCCCAAAAGACACAGACAACCTCTCAGACGGCCAGCGGCCTTCTGAGAAGCCCCGCCGCCTTCTGAGAAGGCCTTCTCCTTCTCACTTCCCCCCTCGCTCGCCAACAGCCCTGGTCATTAACCCCCTCCTGGGATGCCCCCTTCTTGGTAGGGGAGAGGAGAGGACGGGGCCGAGATGCACGCAGCCTCGCAGCACACCGAGCCAAGGCAGAGCCGAACACTTCGAAATCCGCGGGCGCCAGATGGTGCAAGACCGTCAGGCGCAGGTCAAAAAAGACGGTGGGATGCACTGGAGGCGAACTGAGGCACGAAGGCGACAGAGAGAAGAGCGCGAGAGGAGAAAGAAGGGGCCCGATCAGGCCATGAAGGTCGGCGCGGGGATGCCGAAGAAAAGCATGCGGGCTGCGTCCGAACAGAGGGAGGGCCAAACACGGCGCGCAAGCTCCAGAGGGGGTGAAGAAGGAGGGGGGAGGCTGGCTGAGATGGCTTCAGAAGGGCTCCGACACGCCAGAGATACCTCAAGAACACCCCGAAGAGCCAGAGTCAAGCCGGGCCAAGATGCCGAAAGAGAATCCCAAGAGGACCCCCAAGAGGGCCCCCAGGGTAGAACAGATTGATGTGTTCAAGGCTGTTGCGCGACGTTCGCGTTCTCGCCTTTTCGGGCGTCTGCACGCTCAAAACGGTGCGAGAGGCCCCCCAGACTGGCCTAAGACGCTAAGGAGAATGAGGGAACAGAGGAGCAAAAAACTGCATAAACATAAACTGTCGGAGGTCCGCGCGGAGAGCGCCAGGGGTGTCGCCGAAGGCATCGCCAGACGATGCCCAGCGCCGATCCAAGAAATCTGCGCGGAGCTCCGAACCTCTACGCTTATACAGTGCAGAGGCGCGGCCACAAGAGAAACCATCGCAAGAAACCCAGCAATGAAACCCGCAAGAAACCCAGCCCTGAAGCCCGCAGGTGCGAGATGCAAGTGCGGGGGCCCAAAACATCCTGAACGCAGCGACACCTGCAACAGCCACGGGATCCCATCGTGCAGCGCGCGGAGCGAAGAAACACAGGGCACGCTGACGAAAGGTATTCAATCGATCGATGCGCGCCCCAACTGTATGCCTGACTGTTTTCTTGACAGGAAATCTTGAAGGATGATGGAATTCACTGGAATGCGCTGCTAATCACGCTGCAGTCACGAACTTCGCTGATGTGGAGAAAGAAACAGGCGGGCCACCACGGCAGGTGGCTACACGCCCGACGATACCCTGCCCACTAAAGCGGCCCCAGGGGGCACAAACAAATCGATACAACTGCCATGGGTTTCAATGCTTTGCAATATTTCCTGGAGTAATATCTTCCCCTCTATTTCCAATATGTTCCACCATCGCCATGAAAGCAGAATTGTATCTGTCTGAGCGGACTTTTTCCTCTTGGCTCACGAGCCACATTAGGCCTCGATGAGCCCTTGCCGTCAGGGAAGATGCCTTCCAAATACGCTGAAGTTGCAGGAAGGAGGGTGGAGGCAGGAGGGTGGATGCAGGAGGGGCGGCAGGGGGCGGGGAGGGGATGGTAAGGCTTCGCGCTTCGCACAGACAGCCGCCCCAGGTAGTCCCAGCTGGTCTCAACATGTAGGGAAACGAACTCTATACACCGACGCTTTTCCCGACCCTGCGCTGAAATTCGCACAGGCACGCGGATCCTGGTGTATACGGGATCCTGGTGTATACATGTTTCGCTGTTTCCCTTGGATAACGGGGGAAAGGTATACACCACACCACCCCGACGTCGTCCCAGACCCTCAGAAAGTCGTGGGATTGAAAAAACAGCCCGCCACTGGTAATGTACATGTTCCAGTTTCCGAACATGCCCCCCCGAGTAGCCCGGGGCGCTCTCAAACCCTGGCGCCGCCTCTGGCGGCGCCCCGAGAGCGCTCCGCGCCGCGCCCTGAGGTGGAGGCGCCGAGACCGCCACGGGCAGCTCGGGAGGCGCGCCGAAGCCAGCCGGGACTGCTCGGGGGGCCTGTCGAGGCCGGCCATGGGCCACCTGAGGCTGCCTGTGCGCGACCCGAAGCCTAACCCAGCGGGGGGGGGGGGGCAATGAGAGGCAAGTGAGGTGAGGAGCCCAGGCCTGGAGCCGAAGTCGTTGTCGACGTCGGCGAAGACTTGAGGCCAGAACCCCAGCATCCCTCCAGAGACCAGCTCGTTCAGGAAGCACAGCTGGGAGATGATGAGAAAATCCGCCAGGCAAGGCCCCCAGTGAAGGAGAAACGACGACCGCGAGAAGGAACATGACGAGGAAAATAATATCAGGAATAGGAGTAAGAAATGAAAAGGGGGTGTGAGTACAGGGACACATAGCACAGGAGGCATGACTGCGGTGCCACGCGGGCCTCGCACGAGAGGCCAGGCTTGGCGCTGGCGCAGCTTTCTCCCCTCGTCCGTCGCCTGCCGCGTGCACAACAACTCGCTTTCCCTACGCGAGAGGTCGGCATGCCACCTCGCACCAAAGCACTGGCACGCCTGAAGTCGCCACCGTGCCGTCGCAGCGCCCGAGCGGGGCGCCCTCAAGTCCCGACGAGTCCCCTGTGTTGCGCTGTATTTAGGAAGTGCTTCGAGGGGGGCCCGAGCCCCGAGCAAGAGAGCTTTTGGGGCGCCCTCGGGCATTCCCCCTCTTTGAGCAGGGACCGGCCGTCCCAACATTCCTATAGCCCTGCCACGACATGTTCTCAGAACCCAAAAATGTTTGGAAAACACAAACAATGTTCTTAGAGCATAAGCCCGATGCGTTACAACAGAAGAATATCAACCAGAAATGTTCAAAGAACATTTCGTGGAAACCACAAAAGGTTCTTAGAACACTGTTTGGTAGGGCTATAGGCGAGCCAAGACGCTGCGCCACTGCTTGACCTCTGCCCCCACGCAGAGGCCCCGGGAGCGCAGTTGGGAACCGCCGCTTTTCAGCATGGCCTGTCCCAGGGCCCGTGCGTCAGATTCGTGTCGTGCCGACTTCGGCGTCGGTCTCTGACACCGCGAGGATCGTTCCACCTTGAACTATCGGCCCTTTGCGCAACGCCCGGTCGCTCAACATCGAGCGGCCCTGGGTCCCCTGCGGCGTTCAACTACGTCTTGAACGAAGGCGGGGGGGTCGCCGCCGGTCGACACGACGCGAACCTACCGTGCAGGGGCCCTCGTAGGGCCGGTTCGGCCATCTTAGAAATCCAGGGGGTCAGCACAAGCGGCCGAAGTCACACAAGCCACGTGTTGTGTTGAGATGCTTCGCATACTGTCTGTCTTGGCCTGAAGTGCACATGAGTCAGCCTCAGGATGCCCCAAAAGGCCCTCAGACCGACCACAAGATCCCCAAGAGGCCCCCAAACACGCCTCCAAGACGGCCCCAAGAGGGGGAGCTCTGACTGGCATGTCGAGCCCTTTCCCCCCAGGATGGCCCATGATACCGCCAGCAGACCCCAAAGAGGCCTCCAAGAGGCCTCCAGGGCCCCCCCCCCCCATGAGGCTAGCAGAAGCCGCCAAGAGCCCCCAAGCCGCCCGCCTCAGAAGCTTCCGAGATGCCCCCGAGAGGGCCTCCCAAGAGTATCCCAGAGCCTTTTTTTGTTGGCACGGTGGCGGGATGGGCCTAATGCCATTACAGGAAGAGAAGGAGAAAGAGCAGGAGCAGCACGGAATGAAAAGGGAGCAGGGAGGATCAAGCCTGGGGCTGCCCTAAAATATGTCAAGATCCCACTTGACCCCTCCCACCAACACACCCCGCCAATGGTACCCCAACCGACCCCAAAAAGGTATCCTTCTCCTCCTCCCCCTCCTTCTCTCATGTGCCCCTATCCCTCCCATCCGCCCTCCCTTCTCCACCTGACCTCCTTTTCCTCCTCCTTCTCCTCCTCCTCCTCCTCCTCACTCTCCTCCTCCTCCTCCCCCTCCTTATCCTTTTGATATTTTCCTCCCCTCCCTCTCCCTCGCAGCTGTGTATCATCCTCGCCGTCTTGCCTCCCTCCTGTTCCCTCTCCAACCTCTCCCCCCCTCCTCGCCCTCCTCTTTGAGCCCAGAGGGCGCCACTCGCGGCGCCGCCGCCGCGAGTCACCGCTGGGGGGGGGGCGGGAGGACGCGGCCAGTCGGGCGATGATGGGCGAGGAAGCGATAACCATGGAAAAGAAGGGGGAGGAGGAATGGGCACGCATGGAGAGGGGGGGGTGAGGGAAGAACGGTTCGCATGCAGAATTTGACTCTGTCCGGAGGAAGAAGGAACGAGGGACAATGGAGGCTCATCGGCGGCCCTCCTCCGCCTCCTGCTGGCCCGTCCTCCTCCTCCTCCTCCTTCTCCTCCTACTCCTCCTCCTCCCATCCACAAACTCCTGCTGCTCCTCCTGCTGCTCCTCATCCTCTTCCTCCTCGTCCTCCTCCCCCTCCTCCTCCAACGCTCTTCATCCAACTCTCCTCCTCCAACTCTCCTCGTCCTCCTCCTCTTCCTCAATTTCCAGCTCCTCCGCCTCCCTCACATCCTCCTGCTCCTCCTGCTCCTCCGCACCATCACCACCACCACCACCACCAGCACCAGCACCACGACAGAAATACAAACAGTAGTAGTAATAATAATGATAATAACAACAACACTAATAATAATAACGAAAGCAACAGCAATCATACTAATACTAGACATCCGAATGATACTCAACATCAGCAGCATCAGCATCACCACCAGCATCATCATCATCAGCATCATCGTCATCATCAGCATCCTCATCATCAGCAGCATCATCATCAAACTCAGTATATGCATCCTCATCGACATCATTACCGTCGGCATCATCATCTTCATCAGCGTCATCGTCATCATCAGTACCGGCATTAGCATCACCATCATCAGCAGCAGCAGCATCCTCATCAACGTCAGCATCAGCAGCAGCACCACCATCATCATCAACATCATCAGCATCATCAGCATCATCATCATCATCGTCATCATCATCATCATCATCATCATCCTCATCACCATCATCATTAACATCGCCAGCGTCATCGTCGTCGTCGCCACCTTCATCAGCATCACAGCATCGTCGTCGTCGTCCTCATCATCATCAGCATCAGCATCGTTAGCCGCGTCCGTATCAGCATCAGCATGGTCATCAGCAACAGCATCATCGTCAGCATCATCATCGCCATCAGCATCAGCATCAGCATCAGCATCGTCAGCATCATCATCCACATCAGCATGAGCATCAACATCATCAGTAACATCGTCTTGTTCGGCTTACACTTATTCATGGTCCTTATCAGCGACAGCAGCTGCAGCAGCAGTATCAGCATCGTCATCATTACCGTCGGCAACAGCATCATCATCACAAGCATCATCATCAGCAACAACGGCACCATCACCATCGCCATCACCATCATCATCACCATAAGCATCACCAGCAGCGCCATCATCAGCAGCAGCACCGGCCGCACGGCCAGCATCAGCAAAAGCAACTTGATCAGCAGCAGCAGCCTCAACAGCAGCATCATAATCGTCGGCATCACCATCAGCATCCTCATCATAATAATCAGCATCGATCGTATCATCATCGTCATCGTCATCCGCTTCATCATCGTCATCATCAGCATCATCAGCATAATCATCAGCAGCACCAAAATCAGCAGCATCATAAGCATCAGCATCATCACCATACGCATCCTCATCCACGTCCTGATCATCATCAGCATCAGTATCCTCAACAACATCAGCATCAGCAACAGCATCAGCGTCATCACCATCAACGTCATCATCATCAGCAGCATCAGCAGCATCGTCATCGTCATCGTCATCATCATCAGCATTATCATCATGATCATCGTCATCAGCAGCATCATCATCAGCATCATCAGTATCATAAGCCGCAGCAGCACCATGACCATCGTCATCAGCAGCATCATGATCGTCAGCATCATCATCATCATCATCATCATCATCATCAACAAGATCAGCATCATCGGCAGCAGCAGCATCATCAGCATCATCATCATCATCATCATCATCATCGTGAGCAGCATACTCCTCCTCCTCCTCCTCCTACTCCTCGTCCTCCGAGCATCTGTTCCTGCTCCTCCTCCTCCTCCTCTCCCTCTTCCTCCGCCCATCTACTCCTGCTCCTGAGTCCTGCTCCTCCTCCTCCTCCTCCTCCACCTCATCAGCAGCATAACCACCACTACCAACACCACCACCATCGTCGTCATCATCATCATCAGCATCATCAGCATCATCATCATGATCATCAGCATTATCAGCAGCATCATCATCAGCATCATCATCATCCGCATCATCATCGCCATCATCGTCATCATCATTATCATCATCCTCATCAGCAGCATCGTAATCATCCTCAGAATCATCATCATCACCACCACCACCATCATCAGCAGCAGCATCCTCATCCTCATCCCCATCCTCATCCTCATCCTCAGCATCATCATCATCATCATCATCATCATCAGCAGCATCATGACCATCGTCATCAGCATCAGCATCAGCATCAGCATCATCATCATCATCATCATCATCATCATCATCATCATCATCATCATCATCCCTTGTCGTGTGAGACAATGCCGCCCCTGCTGGAACGGGATCGGGAGGGCGCAGGAGGAGGCGGGCGCAGAAGGAGGAGGAGGCGGAGGAGGAGGAGGAAGAGGAAGGAGGAGGCAGGAGGGAGGAAAGGGAGGCGTGAGGGAAAAGGGTGTTGGAGGAGGGAGGCGGCAGGAGGAGGGAGGAGGGAGAAGGGAGTTGGAGGATGGACAATCGAGGAGTCGGGGTTGGGGCTTGGGAGGAGGAAGGATTGAGGGAGGAGGAGCGGCAGGCGGCGAGGGAGGAGGGACGAGTGAGGGAGGAGGGACGAGAGGCGGCGCGAGGAGGACGGACGGACGGAGGAAGAACGGAGAGCAGCTCGCGGCAGTCGAGCGCAGGCAGCGGCCTGCGCGAGGCGCTGGCGGCGGCGACATGGCCGAGAGGCGCCTCCAATGAAACCAGTACGGGTACTCTGAGAGGACCTGTCGGGGAGACCGCGGGACGAGACGAGCGCTGGAGTCGCGAGTGCCCCGCAGGGGGGGGGGGGCCGCTCGGACCCAGTCGGGCACGGTGTGGATGGGACGCACAAAGACATACTAGTACTACATGTTCTCCTTGGAGGCGCGCGTCCGACACAAACATATAGTATACCCATCTTGTTGTATGTCGTTTCCCGAGCGGCGTGGCCAGAAAACGCCCGCCACGACGCATATACTATAAGATTTCTCGGTGCGCGCGTCGCCCCGGGGGGGCGACGCACATATAGTATAAGTATGTTGGGGTGACGCCGAGTGGAGGCCGTGGCCTCGGGCCAAGAGCAAGCGGCTGGCTCAATCGCTCGACACGCCGATCTGGGAGTATCGTCGGCCTGCCTTCGTGCACTCCTCGGCTCCCTCGCGGCTTCCCGGGGACTCCAAACTCCTCTTCAGGGTCGGCGGAACCGGCCGCAAGGCCTCTCCAACCGGCTTATCCATCTGAGAAGACCTGTCGGGGGCATCAATCGATGTGCCGTCAATACGAATACGAAGCACCGGCGACCAACAAAGTGCATCGAGCACATCTCTGGGACCCCAGGCAGCAACGACGAAAGCGCCGTCTGAAGCATGCGGTCTCGTCGAGTCTGATGGCGCGCTGGCGTGGGCATGGCCGTCGCGGCCCCGTAGGAGCGCTTCAACGGGCGCGAGTACTGGATAATCTCCCGCAAGATCAAAGCACCACGCAGAGCTTGCGCCAAAATTTCGACTGCCCCTGAAAGAGAAGGGATGGGGAGGAGGAAGGAGTCTGCGTCTACCCGAAGCGTCGCTGGACGTCGCCGCGGAGAGGGAGGGGGAAGCAGGAGGGGCGGGGGCGGGGGCGGATGCGAAGAGGGAATGGCAGGAGGGTGGTGAATGGAGATGGGGAAACAAAAGACACCGATACTGCTTCGCCCCCGACCTCTCCGGGTGTGCATCCCGACCAAGATTTCGAGAAGACTCTAGCGGTGACGAGGGCCGGGTAAGAGCCCATTTTCACGTTATGCGATAACGCCAGTTACCGGCCCCCCCCGCCCTCCCCCCCTCCCCCCCTTGGTCATTTCTCGATTCGTACTGGCGCCGCTTGGGAATCTTTGACAAGCGCGTTCCACTACTCGCAGAGTAACTTCTCGCAAATGGCCTGGATCCGACGCGGGGGGATTTACGATCCATTACATAAAAGAAGAATTTAGTTTTATCTCGGACGTTTGCGAATAGGCACTTTGCGATCGGTGAAGTTTGCCATTCCTACGCGTTCCCTGACGGCGCCGGCGCGAATCGTGACGTCACCCGCCCCCTTACCCCCTCACCCCTCCCGCCCCCCCCGCGAGAAAACAGGCTCTAGCGGTACCAGTGTCTTTCCTCTCTCTGAAGACTCGCCATCGCTCGGACGTCCATTCCCCGAGCATGTTTCAGTTTCGTGCGTTAATTTTTGGCTCGATGATCCAGGATGCTCCTCCATGGTCCATGCCGAGAAAAATGCAGACGTCCGAGCGATGCCAAGAGGACGAGAAGATCGGGGAGACGTCTGGACTCTCTGGTTCGGGGGCCTCGGTTGGCCTGACGGGCCAATCACAGAAATGACGGTGGTCCAGTCTGAAATTTGCCGCGACCTGCCGCTGTAGATAGATATCCCACGAGAACCTTTGCGGTCTCGGGGATGGACAGACCTCCCTTTAGTAAAACGTGGTTTAGTGAAAACGACCTCGGGCCCAAACCTGGAGGGCGCAGGCCTGGAAAATGACGGCCGCGGCGCCCTCTCGAGAACCGAAAACGGACGATTCACTAATCGACGTGCCAGGGTAGGAGGTCTGTCCACCCCCGACGGTCGGGCCCGTCAGAAGGCGTGGGCAAACCCGAGTCCGGCGAGCTCGAGTCCTACGTTCCCCCGAGGGGGGGAGGGGGGCCGAGAGGTGACGGGCGACGGGGGGGGGAGAGGGGCCTCCCCTTGCTGCGGAGGGCCAACACCGCATATGTGGTGACGGACCGCGTGGCGATCTCGAGATCCCAAGCGACCTCACCGCGCGGTCCGTCACCGCACGGTCGAGGGACCTCAGAGGCCCCGATCGCCCGAGGCACCCTCGGAGAACTATGCGAGTCCCAGTTTCGTGCGGTGGCCCCGGAGCCACAAAAACTCACCACGACGGCCCTCCTCCGAATGTCTGGTTTCCGGGCCATCGCTCGGGGTCTCTGGCGGCCGCTCGGGACAACCCACCTTCTTAGCGAGGCGCAGCTGCTGGAACGCATCCCGAGGCAGGAAAACTCGACAACGTTCGAAGAACCCCAGCCCCCGCTGACTCACCACACGGTGTGCTCACCACACCGTCTGGGGACCCCCGCCCCCGACTTGCAGCAGCCCGACGGGGCCTTCACGAAGGCCTCCCGGGATGGCTCCTCCTCGGGCGGCTCGGCGTGGATGCCCCTGTCCAGCACGATCCTGCAGTCGGGCCTCCCGGGGCGGGGCCACCACCGCCGCTTAGCATGGGGGAAACAGGTCCTGGGGGCTCGGTGATCTACTGACCCGGGTCCATCCAGACCCGGGTCAGATAGGCTGTGCAGGCCTGCCTGCTGGATCTTTCGGGATCGTGCACCTGAGCCAGTGTCAGCGCACACCTGGCACTGAAGGATCCTGCATGATCCGGCACTCTGGCTGACCCCCGCTCGCATCGACCCCTCGCATAACAACCCTAGCACTACCACCCAGACCACCCGTAACCCGAACCCCAAACGTAACCCTAGCCCCAAACAGTACTCAGTACTCAGTATTCACGACTCACTACCCACTATCTATTCGCTACTCACTACTCATTTCTCACTACTCACCGCTTACTACCCATGCCTCACTACTTACGACCCACTACTCATTACCCACTACCCACTACTCACTAAGTCACTACTCATTACTCACTACTCCCAATTTGTTACTCACTACTCACTCACGACTCACGATTCACTACCCACCACTCAATACTCACTACTCACTAAACACTACCCACTGCCAGTACTCACCACTCATTAATCACTTCTAACGACCCATTAACCATGATCCGCTACTCACTACTGAGTACTCACAACTCACTACCCACTACTCATTGCCCACAACTCACTACTCCCTATCCGCTGCTCGCTACTCGCTACGACCTACTCCTTACGCAGTACTCACTGCTCACCTCACTACTCATTACTCAGTACCCGCTACCCCCTACTCGCTACCCGCTACCCGATACGCAATAGTCACTACCCACTACGCACTACCCACTACTCACTACTCACTACTCTCTACTCCTAACTCCCTAGTCAGTAGTCACAACTCACTACTCAGTACTCACTACTCACTAATCCCTACTCACTACTCGCTACTCACTACTCATCACTCTCTACTCGCTACTCCCTACGCCCTGCCCACTACTCACTACCCACTTCTCACTTACTCACAAGTCACTATTCACTACTCCCTACTCACTACTCGCTACTCACTACTCACTACTCGCTACTCCCTACCCGCTACTCCCTACGCCTTACTCACTACTGACTACTCCCCCCTCACTACTCACTGCTCTCACTGCCCTACTCGCTACTCACTCCTCAGTACTGGCTACTCACTACTCGCCAAGACTAGTCACTCCCCACTCCCCACTGCCCACTACTCACTACTCACTACTCATTACTCACTGCGCACTACTCACTACTCACTATTCGCTACTCACTCCCCATTACTCGCTATTCGCACTACTCACTACTCACTATCCCGAGGCCAGACCCCTACCCCTTCCCCGGCCTCCTGTTCGGCGCAAAAGGGGGGAGAGGGGGGGGGGTCGAACGCCACACCCCCCTTTTCAGCGCCAAGTGGGGAAGGGGGGGGGGGGTCCGGACCCGCCCCCTTTAAAAGGAGGGGGGGTAGAGGGGGTTCGGAGCCCCCCCCTCTTAAGGGGGGGAGGGGGAAGGGGGGGCCCAAAATATCACCCCCCTTTGAGGGGGGGGGGGGGTTCTGCGAGCACAGGGACCTTTTCAATTACAGGGTGATCCAGTGGCGCGCTTTCCAAAACTGCACCCCCAAACTGCCTCACGCGGGCGTGGTGGACAAAGAGAGGCAATTCGAACCCCGTACGTCTGCGCTGGCGCAGGTGACTGTCCAGGAGGACGGGTGTTGTGTTGCATTTTCAAGGGGGGCCTTGTCTGTCCCGTCGAGCCGCGATCCACGTCGACCCCGTGTCGAATACATCAGCTCCTGTTGGGCTTTGTGCCCAGTGTTAGGTCGGGCGTGTCCTCCTACAGGCGGAAGTTGGACGAAACATGCTTCTCTGTTTTTGTTCCACGAACATGATCAAACAGATTCAAGCAATCGTCCCCAGACTACTGCTTGACTAGTTTTGAACGTTCCCCCCTGTGGAGGGACATGCCCGACCTGAGCCCACTGCTCCCGTACCCACGCCGGCCCCCCCGAACTCCGACGACGGAGACGGCCTCTCAAGGGGGACGTTGGGCTTCCGAGGGGCCCCGCCGCTCTCCGAGAAGGCTCGGCCCCCTCGCACCAAAGGGGCCCAGGGACACACACACACACACACACACACAACAAAAAAAGGGCTCAAATCCCAGGATGTTCCCCCTCTGTTCGCATGTGCGCCTGGGGGGTCGTCTGCCCCCCCGCTTCCCATATTCTCCTGTCCAGGATGATCCTCGGTGGCCCTCGCCGAGAAAAAATGCACACGTCCGAGCGATGCCAAGCCTGGGAGTCGCCAAGCCATCGCGTGTCTCTGTGTGTTTTGTTCCCAACCATCCTGTGCTATTGGGTCCTCGTTTTGAAGAGACGGTGCCCCGCGTTCTCCTTCCTTCCTTCCTTCCTTCTTTCCTCCCGCTGCCTCCTCCCCCCTCCCATCATCATCATCATCATCATCAACACCCAATTCGGCACACCCCTCACACGTTTCGTGGCTCCATAGGGAGCTCCACCGAAGGCCCCAGTGCCCGCGGCCGCATGCGTCACCCACACCCATTTCGGCACACCCCTCACACGTTTCGTGGCTCCATAGGGAGCTCCACCGAAGGCCCCAGTGCCCGCGGCCGCATGCGTCACCCACACCCATTTCGGCACACCCCTCACACGTTTCGTGGCTCCATAGGGAGCTCCACCGAAGGCCCCAGTGCCCGCGGCCGCATGCGTCACCCACACCCATTTCGGCACACCCCTCACACGCTTCGTGGTTCCATAGGGAGCTCCACCGAAGGCCCCAGGCCGCGGCCGCATGCGTCACCCACACCCATTCGGCACACCCCTCACACGTTTCGTGGCTCCATAGGGAGCTCCACCGAAGGCCCAAGTGCCCGCGGCCGCATGCGTCACCCACACCCATGTCGGCACACCCCTCACACGTTCCGTGGCTCCATAGGGAGCTCCACCGAAGGCCCCAGTGCCCGCGGCCGCATGCGTCACCCACACCATTTCGGCACACCCCTCACCCATTTCGGCACACCCCTCACACGTTTCGTGGCTCCATAGGGAGCTCCACCGAAGGCCCCAATGGCCGCGGCCGCATGCGTCACCCACACCCATTTCGGCACACCCCTCACACGTTTCGTGGCTCCATAGGGAGCTCCACCGAAGGCCCCAGTGCCCGCGGACGCATGCGTCCCCCACACCCATTTCGGCACACCCCTCACACGATTCGTGGCTCCATAGGGAGCTCCACCGAAGGCCCCAGTGCCCGCGGCCGCATGCGTCACCCACACCCATTTCGGCACACACCCTCACACGTTTCGTGGCTCCATAGGGAGCTCCACCGAAGGCCCCAGTGCCGCGGTCGCAATGCGTCACCCAACCCAGTTCGCCGGCACACCCCTCACGCGTTTCGTGGCTCCATAGGGAGCTCCACCGAAGGCCCCAGTGCCCGCGCCCGCATGCGTCACCCACACCCATTTCGGCACACCCCTCACACGTTTCGTGGCTCCATAGGGAGCTCCACCGAAGGCCCCAGTGCCCGCGCCCGCATGCGTCACCCACACCCATTTCGGCCATTTCGGCACACGGACCAGGACGGAGACAATATTCTAGGTGCGCCCCTCACACGTTTCGTGGCTCCATAGGGAGCTCCACCGAAGGCTCCAGTGGCCGCGGCCGCATGCGTCACCCACACCCAGTTCGGCACACCCCTCACACGTTTCGTGGCTCCATAGGGAGCTCCACCGAAGGCCCCAGTGGCCGCGGCCACATGCGTCACCCACACCCATTTCGGCACATCCCTCACACGTTTCGTGGCTCCATAGGGAGCTCCACCGAAGGCCCCAGTGCCCGCGGCCGCATGCGTCACCCACACCCATTTCGGCACACCCCTCACACGTTTCGTGGCTCCATAGGGAGCTCCACCGAAGGCCCCAGTGTCCGCGGCCGCATGCGTCACCCACACCCATTTCGCAAGCGGCGCTCTTCAGGGGAGAGGCACACGTTTCGTGGCTCCATAGGGAGCTCCCACCGAAGGCCCGTGGCCGCGGCCAGCATGCGTCCACCCACAACGCCCATTTTCGGCACACCCCTCACACGTTTCGTGCTCATCCGATCTCCCCCACCGAAGGCCCCAGTGCCCGCGGCCGCATTGCGTCACCCACACTCCTTTCGCGGCACGACCCTCACTACGTTTTCGTGGCTCCATAGGGAGGCTCCACCGAAGGTAATGCCCAGTGCCCGCGGCCGCATGCGTCACCCACGACCCATTTTCGGCACACCCCTCACACGCTTCGTGCTCCATATGAGCCTCCAACCGAGGCCGCCAGTGGCCGCGAGCCGCATGCGTCCCCACACACGTTTCGTGGCTCCATAGGGAGCTCCACCGAAGGCCCCAGTGCCCGCGGCCGCATGCGTCACCCACACCCATTTCGGCACACCCCTCACACGTTTCGTGGCTCCATAGGGAGCTCCACCGAAGGCCCCAGTGCCCGCGGCCGCATGCGTCACCCACACCCATTTCGGCACACCCCTCACACGTTTCGTGGCTCCATAGGGAGCTCCACCGAAGGCCTCAGTGCCGCCGCCCGCATGCGTCACCCCCACCCATTTCGGCACCCCCCCCGCATTTCTCGCACGGCAGGGTCATCACCACGGTGGCGTGCCAGGGGCGCACCATGCGCGAAGGCGACGGGGTGGAGAAACGGCGCTCCGGGGGCAGCCAGACCTCCGGGCGCGAGCAGTCCGCGGCCAGACCATCTCTCGGCCCTGTGGACTCTCGCCCTGGGCCGTCGGCTGCCCGGCGCGCTGCTCCCTCGGTCGACGTCGCCCAGGCGTGATCCTGGATTGCGGCCGCCACGAGGTAGGGAACGGCAAGAAGGAGGACGACGACTGGTGGCTGGAGCTCTACGCGCTGCTCTCGCGCGCCACGCGCCACGAGGACCTCCTGCTCATGCGGCGCCGCGCATCGAGTTCTTCCTGGCAGGGCCGCCGCAGGGCTTGCGGAAGCAGCT